TGTACTCTGTATTATAGAACCAATATGAATACAAATAATTATTATTTTGACACTTTCACAATATACATAATATGTGACTTAGGTCATAAGGTCCAGTCCTGGTATTGCATTCTGAAAATTTAGTAGTACTCTCTTGTATTTGGAGAATAGCTACTACATTTGGTTACATCCAGAGAATTCAGATAGTACTAAGTTGCCTTCTAACTTGAAGCTCTGGCGTCCAGAACCATTACATTCTGAGTTGCAGTTTGCGTCTTGTACATCCTGTATGTCTCAGGCACAGGATGTACAGAACCCAAGCTTTTCTTTTTACTAATGTCTATAGTTGAGGAACCTTTCCACAACATTAACTGGTTTAATGGTAATAGGAAGTCCTCCTGGTCAATATAGTCAAGTTGTAACGTATTCGTACCAGGGTGCTAGTCAGGCTTCTGGGTACAATAGAAGTAGTGCACAAGTTGATCTACAACCTATGGGCATACTATACTAAGGAAGGCTCCAAGGGAAAGATATAAAGAATAGGGACTTGAAGAGGTAACCACTCAACTAAGTATATTAGAAATACTGTCTGTAAGAGTCTGCTGTTCTATCAAGGAAATCAGCGGTCTATAAATACATAATTCCATTTATGTCCTGCATTGACGAGTTTTTCAAACATTCCCTAATAAAGGAAACAAATAAAACAAACTGAGTATCAAAAGATACTAGAAACCACAAGTAAAACAAAACATAAAACAATTCCCTGAACCAAATGGACTAAACTCCAGTTCCAGTTATACAAGTAGCAAAGTCAATGATACCAGTACATTAATAAGTCTCTTAATAGAGCTAATCACTCTAGTCAGTAAAAGGAGAATAGTAAGCTGGCTTGAGTTTAAACCCCTCAGCTAACAAAAATCTCCAAGATGAAGTAATCATAAACTTTTATAGGAGAGGGTCTAAAAGCCCTTATAGAAAGATGACAGTATACAGAAACTACAGTCTAAGTAAGACAAATGTTTTTAAGGTCAAACAGATCTCTATTATAAGAGTCAGAAATAGATTTGATGAAAGGTATTTTGTTTGGTCTTAGATAGATGTAACTTATTACCACTCAGACATGGAAGTTAAATATTAAGGTACCTCTATAGCTTTCAGAATAATCAATAAATAGAGAAGAAATCTGATTAATATATTTATTATACTTTGATATCTACTAAGTTTTCACTATAAGATTTCTTGACCATTCTCTAAGAAACCTTACTGGCTCTAGTTACAATTCTCTTCGCCTTATAAGTGACTACTACCTAACAAATTCAATCATGTAATACTACTGTATAACCAATAAAAATTCATTGTTAAAACTGACTGATAAACTCCAAAATTACCTTCCATAATCTGGTATGCCTGACCAGAATGTAGTAGGCTTTAAAGGAAAGAAAGAAGATTTGGCTCTAGTACCTCTTAGATGAACTGCATACTATTTAGTCCTGATATATTATAGGAATAGGTTTATTTGCTAGGATTCAATATTAAATATAAATAAGTAGTATATGATACCCAAAAGTAATCATGGTATGGAGTCCTGTAGAAAATCAATTAAACTGTTACTACTTATCTTGATACTATTTCTGATTCCCTAGTTCTAGGCTGTCATCAAATATGTCAAGGTTCTTCTTGTTGACTACTACTTGAATAAGTAGTCTCATAACAGATAATACACTTTCTCTACTTACTTTCTGCCCAGTCTTGATTCTCCTATACTTATATCAACTATTTTGTTTAATTTGACAAAAGAAGTACTTTTTGCTTCTAAGTAATAAAACTGCAATAGTATTTTTAAGCTAGTACCTTATTGGCAATTAAGCATTCTCTAACATGGAGATTAGATTTTTAAGTATTTTCAGTAATTGTAGCATCTGGATTCCTGTCAATAAGAGTAGTAATTTATTTTTTATTACTGATACTACTAAGCTATAGTAGCCAGCCAGAGTATAGAACATCCTTAATATTATTGTCTTTCTCTTACCCCTTCACAAGACTCTGAATTGTACTCTCTCCATATCCAGCTTCTTTTTGAATCTGACAATAGGAATAGCCATATAAATGTAGCTCAATTGCTTGAAAACGCTCTTCTTCTGTAAATTCTCATCATTTTCTGCTCTTTTCAATTGGCATCCTCAGTAGCTATAAGTATCATGAACCATAGTACCAGTTGAATCCTGTTACAACTATACCATATTCCTATCTAGCAATACTAGTTGTTATTATAAGCCTAATTCCAACATTGTCTGATCACTTTCTTGCCACTACTGTACATAGTTCAGACTACTACAAACCAAAATAGAAAAAATAAAATAAAACTTGAAGAAATAAGATACATGGGAAAGTTTATCCTGTGCAAAAAATTATTTCTTTCACATATACTACATCTTGCACCCAGGAGGTGTAGCTACATGGTAGAGCTGGATTATTGGCATCACATCCTATTGAACTACTATAATTTGAAGAAAAAAAAAAGAAACAAGACAAAAGTGAGGTAGCGGCGCATCCACATGGAGAGTAATAGGGAGTGATTTCCTGAGTGATTACGGTTGAGTTAAGGTTTATTATCAGATAATCTGATAAGACGTTTTGAGGTTTGTTGGCAGGATAGTTATCCAGCCATTCACCAGGACGATACGAACACGAATACGGGAGTGTCGAGTTCAAGATGGAATGCAAGCTGCGTAGAATAGAAATAGAAGGGTGAATGTTTGATAATTCCATAGACCTAGATGCTGTACATTCTTATTCAAATCCTGTACCAGAGTTTTCACAAGTACCTCAGCAAGGGAAAACATAACCATCTACAGTTGAAACTACCATCTTTCTTGCTCATAAATTTAATTTCGAGGAAATATTATGAGCAGCATCCTTCCTTTTATCTTTTATCTTTTCCCTGTTTTTGAAAGTTGTTTCCCGTGCTTTTTAATTTTATTTTTCCCTCGATGTCCAACGAGGCACTATAGCTCCTTACCGGGGAGCTGAACCATAGATAATAACCTGTCGCATATAGCACTGCACAACCCTCGCCGAAGAGAGTGCTTACAATCTTCCCCCCCAAGGCGACAACATAATCCGGAAACCTATCCCCCCTCCCTCCCTCTGAACTTGGAGGGAGTCAAAAATGACTTCCATGCTTCACCCACATCTTCCTTTAACACACGCAGATCTATTTTACCGGGGAATCCCCAATCGTCAACGCGGTTCAGCCTACCCCACTCCCCCCCAAATCCAGCCTGGGATCGTACCGCGACGAGTGAGAGAGGTAGGATAGCGAGTGAGATTTCGTGACCCTAGATAATATTTTTTTTCACCTTTTTTCGCCCGGAGCATGTGGCTCCATTCCGTGTCGGCTAGAGAGCGGCTTGCAATGAGGGGGGAGGGTCCAGGGTTCGGGATTTCGGAACTAGCGGTAGTGCCCCTTCACTACGTACCATCCTAACACTACTAGAGAGTACCCTACATAGTCTAAACCATCGCGCCTTGTGCAGCAAACTTCCACATCTACATCGATTGTAGAAAGAAGTATACATGATAACTGTCCATGTGATTCTCACAACTTCCCCAACTCTCTTATGGCGATATTATAGCAAGGTGTGCCGGAGAGATCTGGCGTCACCGTTTAGCATGGGTAACCCATTCTCTCCGACACTCACTCTCACGAAGACCCTTGCAGGTCTAACAATCGCCCCGAATGGGGATCTCGTAAGCTGTGGATGGTGCATTCCCTCTACCGTACCCATCCATTACTATCGCTCCCAACGCCAGGCCCCCAGCGGCACTGTGAGTATTGCGCCTGTACCCCGCGACTGCCCCCCCACTCCCCTCCGGCGTACCCCGTTACGACCATGTCCAGCCAGACTTAGGAATATCCACCCTCCGTAGCCCAGCGACTGACCGTACAATTTGATTATCCTCTTATTATTCCCCGTACCCGAGACGACCGGCACTAATCCCGTCCTCCATTCCGCTTAGTTGTGAAACTCCCGTTGACTAACTCCCCCGCCGCCGACCTCTGTCTTCTCTAGCCTAGGACCATAGCAACGATATACTAGAACGCTAATACCGATCAGAGCATACCAACGCACAAACCTAACCCGTAGCTCTAGAAAACCTGCAGTAGCTCCTAGTTCTCAAGTTAATCCCCAGAGAGCCACTACCGCAGAAAAAAAATCACATATCTGGGAGCTCAACGCGGGGACCACAGAGCCAATTAGAACCTACCATATTGTTAATTACTCGTGCGGGACCAGAAAATAAAAAGCGGGGGAAAAGTAATTCGACGCCTTTTTCCCCCGCATAGTCTACAGCGCCCCGCGCCTCCGGTCATGTGGTGCGGTACTCGTACTGGAAGTCTGGCTTGATGCAGTAGACATGTGAACGTTTTCCTTTTTTTTTTTTTTTGGCCGGTAGGCGGTGGTAACTTATTAATTTATCATACCGTACAGTAAGTAGTCCAACGGTACGAGTGATTAGTGCAGTGATTAGCGTCTGGGGATGTCGGCCCAACGGTAGTCTGACGTTTATTCTGCGGGTGTGCGTGTGGGGATAGTAGTCTACTGTAAGGTGGACTGTTTGGTCCGCTGATGGAGGGGAAATTACGGTAGACTATGGGGCGGTGGTTATTGTGCTGTGTGTACGGTATGGCACTGCGCTGCCATGATAGTTTTGTTAGTATGGGCGGGTAATGTGGTATTATTTACATGATTTTTCTCTCCCTTTCTTTATCATTGGGGAGGTTATCCCCCCCTTGCGCTGGCTGCCTGTTTGGAATAGCTGTCAGCTAGGCGCTGATCAGGATTACCGCGAATGGCGGCCGAGGGTAACTTGGCGGGCTTGATGTGAAAGATTGCAAGCCGTTTCCTTCCGTTTTTGGGTCAAAGGGACGTATGATTACTGTACAGTTTATTCACAAGGGCTTTAAAAATACAACTATCTACAGTGCAGTAGGAGAAAAAAGGTAGGTCGGCAGACTAATCATCAGCCTTCCTCCGGAACAGGGCAAAGAAACCACCGCCGACAAGACGGTCTCCGACGGTTGGTCTGCAGACGAAGGCCTCTAGCAAGGGCGTAACCGGTTCGGGTTCGGGAGGAGGAGGGGGGGCTTGCTCTGGAGCGGGTGACACCGGGGAAATCGGTTCCTCTCCAGGGGTAACCCCCCCCTCCCCCTCACCCTCCTGCATGTTCTCCTCCGCCTTCTTGGCCCTAGCTCGAATAAACGCTGGCCGCACATCCCACGCCCGCAACCCGGCACCAACCCCAGTTCCACCAGGAAATTCCAAAACCCTCTCACACAGTAACCCACTCCCCTTAACCCTAGCCACGGCGACCATAATCTGGCTAATACTTGGACACCAAAGGCCCACAGCCCCATCGGGCCTCAGGCAGCGCATGACATCGAACAAGTACCCCTCGGGCCCCGGCAGGTCCAGGACGGCATGCGTTAGGAATGGCTTCCCATCGCGGTCGGAGAGCTGCTCCCGACACCAAGTGCCTAGGTCGGAGATGTGGAAGCGGACATTGCGGAGGTAGATGCCACGGCGGAAGTTTGATATGACTTTTTGCGCGTGCGCGGAGTGCCTGGCTGATACATCCATTGTGTGCAGCACGGCACTCGAGGAGGGAGACAGCGCACGAGAGAGGTGGAGCGTCAGTGAACCGTGACCCGTGCCTGCTTCCAGGACTTCGACTGGCTCCTCCGTGCTGTCGCGGCTGCTGCCGCCGTCGCCGTCATCGGCTCCGGGGACGACGTGAATGTCAAGTAACGACACGATCGTCGCAGCGTCGATCGGGTACACCGGCGTCACCAGGCGCCGCACGGAAACGATGTACTCCTCTAGCGTTGGAAAGGCAATTCGGAACCTTACCCCTTTTCGCGTCGTCACGACGTCCCTTGGTTGCTTGCCAATGATGTCGCTGTGTGATACTGAGCCTCGGTATGTTTCGCAGGCTTTGCCCGGCGTGAGGGGGTGGGTCAGGCATGTTTTTGTGGGGTCCAGGGAGGGGCGGAGGAGGGCAATGTCGTTTTCTAGGGAGAATCGTTTCTTTTCCTAAGTAAATTGTGCCAAGAGGTTCGGGGGAGGGAGGGGTACCGACAAACACCCTCTGGGAAGAAGAGCTCAATCGCCGAAGCGAGGAACTGAGAATTGAAAGTAGGCGTGGGCGAAACATGTTTTGCACAGCTATCCAGTCAAACCCCCTATCGTAGTCCCTCTCGTGTATGGGCGAGGCAGCGCCGGTAAGAAAGGGAAGGGGGAAAGTGATGAAAGAAAAAAAAAACAAATTTACGATTGAATTTCCAGTTTCGGCCTTTACCGCTCTCCCTAGCTAAACCTGTAGAAGAACCCTAAAACCTTAGAGCCTCCATTCATCCCAAGTGCTCGCCATATCATCGGAAAAGCCCTGTTCGCCTGTCCAACCTCAACCCAGCTGCCTCGTCTGTGTGACATGAGGGGCGGAGGGTCCCACTCGATACTCAAGCACGGTAGGCGTGCAAAACATGTTTCGCCCACGCCTACCAGTATGATAATATTATCATACCTTCAATTCTCAGCCCGCCGCTTGGGCGAGGGCTCTTCTTCTGAGCGGGTGTTTGCCGGCATCGCCCCCCCTCCCCCAACCCGCTTGACGCAATTTACTAACGAAAAAGAAAAAGTTTCACAGAGAAGTGGGGTCGCGATTGCTGGAGCATCAGCGCAGGCAGAGGGCTTGTGTTACCGGACGCGAAATGCCCCTATCATACACTGGCGTGCTGTTGGGGCTCGGATAAGCGGACCATGTAGTACGCGGTCCAAAATTACCTCCTCTAGAAAGTAGGCGAAATACGTAGCAAAAAAACACAGCCTCAGAGACCAATGGAAAACAAAAGAAATACCGGACCTTGCTGGGAGAGCCAACCACAACACCCTACCTAGCACATGGAACGGTTATCCAAGTTCCTGTTGTAAGCCAGCACAATGTGAGGGACAAAGCCGGTCAAGGGAACCTGATCCCTGCCACTTCCAGAGTCCCTCGAGACGGCAACTCAGGGTCAACGGTCATTTCGACAACATGATAGTCAAGCGCTGCGTTGGTTCCTTGTGCAGCGGATTGCCAGCGGTCCTCTTATCAGGAATCGGTTCCGGCACGGCAGGTGGGGTAAAAAATCGAATACGAATATAGTCTTTGAGAGCATATATAATCAACTATGCTGGTTGGTTTGGTGAGATCCCCGAGCAGAATCAGAAACTTACTGATGATGCCCCAAAGAAGATAATGTGTATCTACCGCTTTATATACTTCTGGTCCGCTTTCTATCTCTGACCTGAGATTGCTGACAACCCTTTCTATCCTTACTCCCACCTCGCCCAGCATTTTATTGATATCTGCCTTGAAGCCCCCAAAACCCTGGCGTCACCATTCCTACTTAATCGCCACTAACCATCCATGAACTTCAAGTTTGTACCGCATCTTGTATGCTCTGTCAATACGATCCTCAAGCTTGTTGACACGGTCCCACTTCAGCATAGTTTGTCAGCAAAAGGGTGGCTAATCAGATTGAGGCAGCGAAGCTTACAGGACCACATAATGGTTCTCCTCAGGAGTCCAATGTCCTTAGACATTTGGTATGGGATCACCGGAGTCCTCGTGGTCTGACTTGCCATCAGGAGTAAAATTGCTCCTTCGTTACGCAAGCTGTGTTTAGGGTCTGTTTGCCTACAGATAGCCGTCTAGTGGATGGAGATGGCACCGACTGTCAAGGAGGGCTTGACGGCTGTACTCGTACAGTATCTACCGGTATGCAGAGCATCCGGAGATGTTCACCTTGAGTACAGTACTCGTGTAAGTTAGACTAGCGTCGAGTGTGTTTAGTGACAGCTGCAACCACAAACTCTGGAGCAACCCGTTCCGACTGTCCTAGCAATAAGAATTTGAGAGGGTCGAAGATTAGGTAAACACCCTTCAGCAGTCTGTACCATAATCCAATTCTCGCTATGACCAGACAGTCTAGGAGTATGATACCGGCACTTTCGCTATAGATTTTAGCCACGGACGGTTAGGGCCCTTAATAATAAACAAAGAAGGATAGGGCAATGCCTCCTCGTAAAAACCCTCAAACCCGCCATGTATCATACCGCTAGGGATAACACACATTTGAGCCGCGTACTGGTGACCAAAAGAGGAATCTCAAGTATCATACTCGAGTAAATTTACAATCGCTTTACCGACCGCGGCTTCATTCCTGCAGGGTAAGCCGGCCGGACGAACGGGCGGGAAAACCTATAGTCTAACGGTTAACTGGACAAGCCTGCCGTATGGGATCGTAGCTCTTGTCCAGCGAGAGGTGAAGCGGAGTGAAGCGAGCCGGAGATAGAGCCATACTGGCACAGTACCAGTTACAGTACCATAAATCCCCTCAGGCCCTTTTTGGGGGGAAACCGCTTGCTGGCCTCCCCTTGATTTTAACGTTCTGCCTTCATGTTCCAGCATAGGCGCACCGGGGGGGGGGTGGTGGGGGGGTAGGATCGTGATGCTAGAGCACTGAATGCCTTGTTCCATGTATAATACCGGTATTTCCCTTCTTCCCTACCCCCCACCTTCACGCAGAGTTTTTCTTCCCAACAAGTATCATATTATGCAGGTATTTAAATTTACTGCGGTTACTCTGGAGACGTGCCGTTGTTCATGGGGTTGATTGGATTTTTACTTCTTATTTTTTCTTTTTTTCTTCTTTCTTTCTTGCTTTCTTTAAATTACGTTTGGTCGGTATGATGGAAGGATTGCTTGGGGGATTTGATGTGATCTGGTGATGGTATTACTATAATCTAACTCACAGTGCTGGTGATAATAAGATTTTGCGGTACTGTACTGTGCCGGTAGTTTTCGCGATGGCGTTCGCTGGTTTCGCGATGCCACTGATGCGGTGGGTGGGGGGGGTGGGGGTCTGCGTGCCGAGAAAGGGAAGCTAGGCTTGGTCGGTTGTTGTGGGGTTTAGGGTAAGGCACATGGGGTATCATGGCCGCGATTGTGGCCTACGGTGCGAACTGTTGGTGCCGTTAGACTACTCGAATATCGAGAGTGACAACTCCTCCCACCCTATCATTCCCACCACTAGACTATCAGGACTCCCTCTAAGCTTCCCAACAATCCCCCCCTCCCCTTGTCTCCTTTTTTTTCTTCTTCCTTCCTTCTTTCCTTCTTTCCTTCCTTCCTCTTCACCCCTCCCTTTCCCTCGGCTCCACATTCTAAACTCTCACCCGCAATTCTCCCCATTCCGGAATGTCAGTGCGCTGCACCACCAATTATCCCACAGTCCGGGTTGAACCCATCATGTGCGGTGCTTGTACTCGAGTATCCAGGCGGGTTGTGAGTGCGTGGCTTGGCGGGTTCCGCCTCACAGGACGGTTAGGGTGTCACATGCATGCATGGGAAAGTGCGGTGTGGTGAAGGCTTAACTTATGATTGCGATGCCGGTACTCGTACTCGAGTAGGGTGGGGGGATAGAGTTGTCCGTCCCTTACAGATAGATGTGATACCGAGTACCGTAGATTAATCCACATATTAGGGGTGAGATGGGAGAAAGGGGAGACGAGGAATACAAGAATAGATGCCGGCCCTGGAGTAGCGAGGAGGGAGAGGGGAAACCTCGGTAAGCCTTCTACAGTGCCGTACCCTACTGTGTGGTATTGTGCGCGCACAAGTATCATACCGCTGGGAATGTGACTTTTGTAGGCAGTTGCGGTAGGGGGGGGCAGGCCATTTCACATTACAGGTATCATACGCCTCCATAACTCCCTCATATGCTCGACTCTGAGACTCGCAGCTCGAAGCTAAGCCAGGGTAAACGATACAGTAAGTACTTTAACAGCCTGCAGACACCTATCAATTAATTACCTGACGCATAATGCACCCCCTCCCCCCTTCCTGGGGGAAAAATAAAAATAACAAAGTCAAAACTAACCTCTCACCCTCTTTCTCCCCCCTCGTCACTCTCTCGCTCCGAGTCCAGGTGATTTGTTCGATTTGAGCACGCTAAAACCGCTCCGTCCGCCCGGTTCTCGCTTTCCTCTCTCTCCCTCTCTCTCCATCGCAACCCTTTTCCTCCTGCGCGCTTGCTTGCTACTGCGGAATGCACATGTTCTGCCGTGCTATGCACGCTTTCTTCCCACCCCATTGCCCGCTGACTTATGGTCCTGACACGGGCCTGTGATACAATCGTTATTACACCACCACGTTATGTTATGTATGCACGGGTACACTGCGGCTTCACGTATCCTATACTCCAAACCGGACTAGGCCAAATCCCCAACCCCAATCCTGATCCCACCCTCTTCCACCCTCAACAATTCAGCATTGCGGAAACCGGTACCCTACATAGTATTATATAACCACCCACTGTCCACCACACCTGCCCTCTCACCCCCCTTCCCCTCTGCTTTCGGCCGTCGTTTGTTCATTTATCCCTTCCTCTACCGGAGGAGAATCGAGATTCAGGCGCCATGACGACGAGAACAGCAACCCCATCATCGTACACCTCGAGCACAACCTACCACACCACAACCCCAGAACCCCAGGGCTTGAGTCCGCCGCCGACAACACGGCAGCGAAGCCACAGCACGAACAGTCATAACAGCTGGTGGAGCGCGGAGGAGCCTTCGCAGGCGTCGTTGGCAGCGACGGGAACCAGCGCGCGTTCGCTAAGGAAGCGGAAAACCCTGCCCACGATGGGAACGGGAACACCGATGCGGAGGAGAGGACAGGCCTCCTGTCCTAGGACCGTTACCACTCCGAGTTCGAGTTCGAGTTCGAGTTCGGGCTCAACGATACGTCCGCACTACCAACTTCATTATAACCCGCATCATCACCAACGTCACCATCACCACCACCATCCCACCCCATCAATGTCCCCCATCACTACCACCACCCCCTCCTCCTCATCTTCCTCGTCAACATCGTCGCACGCCTCCACCCACCCAACCCTATCACCTGCACTCCCGTACAACACACCAATAGACTGGAAAGGCAACGCCGCCCGCCGTGCGGAATATGCCGCGCTCGACCGCCGTCGCCAAGGTGTTACGGGACTCATCCGCCGCGCCGCCGCCGCCTGCTGCTTTAGCCGCGCTAGGAGTGAGTTTTGGGAGGAGAGGTGTGGCGATGACGGGGGTAGTGTGCGGCGCTATCGGCTTGCACTGCCGGAGGAGGAGGAGGAGGGCTCGTCCCGTGAAGATGTTGGGGGGAAGAATGAGACGGAGAAAGGGTGGCCAAGGGTTAGGGTTTGGCAGTGATTGAGAAGGAAGGGGAAGAGGCTTGACTGTTTTACTACCATACATTTATTCAGCGAGGAGTTTGTTTTGCTTTGGGTGGGGAGTCTTTATCTTGCATTTTTGCGTTTTTTTTTCTTTCCTCTTTCCTTCCTCTTGCCCTATTCTGCTTCAGTTGTATTTTTACTCTTTTCGTTGTTTGCTTTTGACCCGCCGAGTGCCAGATCTGATTGGGTGGTGTGGGGTAGATTTCGCTTCCGGTCTATCATACAGTGTATGATATTTTTTCTGTGGATATGATACAGTACTGTGCTGTATAGCACAGTAGAGTACAAGTAGATGTTCCTCCTTCTTTTCTTCTCTTCCTCTTCCCCCTCCTTTTTTGCGTCTCCACGATGCACACTAAGGCATAACTAGGAATGTCGTGGATGATGGCATGGGTATCGCGCAAAGTCCATTTGTTTATCAGTCATCCACGTCATTACATTTGTTCATAACATCATAGGTCAAGTTAACGTCAGGGGTTCTATTCATTTCTGCACTTTGCTATCGGCACTACGCCGTCCTGTTCTGCTCAGGATACGTTTCTCTGTACAGTACAGCACAGCCCTGTACATCTTCTCCCTTTCTCTGTAATACTTTTATACTTGTCATTGATAATTAAGATCGGAGTCTGGTCTTGTTACGTATGATACTTGCTCGAGTATGTGTCACACACACAACATTTCCTTCCTCCTCTCCTCTCCTTTCTATTTTTATTTATTTCCTTACTGTCACCGTTCTAACTGATCATTGCCATTCTCTTTCTTGTAGCAGTACTTAGTATATTAATACTATCACGGTTCTTGCGTATAGTACCAGTACCATACAGTACAGTACTCGAGAACCGTACGAAACGAGAGAGGCCATCCAAATACGTCGCTTGCCACTATACTAATAAAGAACTCATGAAAGAACCCTACTCGTATGAGAAAGCCGCCTGTGGCCCCGTCGGCCTTCTCTCCCTTCCCCGATCATTAACCTTCCCTGTACGATCAGATACTATAGTGACAACAGCAGGTACTGTTTGCAGTTATCGTACCTCCGGACGACCCTAGCACCGCATATTACTGTACAAGGTAGGATCATGAATTCATGGTACAGAGCAGGGGTGGTCATGCTCTGTTGTGAAGGTAATTTTGGAACACTTGAAAAAGTGTGTGTTCCAACCCAAGGTCATGCGCAACAAGGATTGGATGCTGATTTGCGGAGTGCCAACAGATGTTGGGATTCTCGCTTAAATCCACACTAGTGAATAGTTGATTGAAGTAGTAAAACGATCATGCCTATATCCATTAGATCTTGATGAGAATCATGAGAGTAAAAATTGTCTTCAGTATCCGAATATTACCGCAAAAAAAACATTGTGATGGTGTGTAGTTTCAAACTGGCGAGTGATATCTCATGAGTACGTATACGATTCATGAACATAAATAGGAGTCAATAGAGCCGATAGGTTAGCATGATACATCACAAGTTCACCTGAGTCCACTTCATATTTCTCTAATGCCTCCAACTCTACGCTCTGCTTCTGGCCTTGAAGCTGGGTGACATATCCCTCCTGTTCCGGGCAGCCCAAGCCATTTACGTACCTGGCTCTTTGATGCTGAGACTTCGGATGATAGCGGTTCTGATGCCTTTTGTCAAAACCCTCCTTCTACTACTTCTACTACTTCTACTAAGCCGGGCTCAGAATTAGAGACTATCATAGACTCTGATTGTGAGTTTGACTGTGCTATACCTACCCCAGGTCCATTTTCCACTTCCACTCACTGGCATCCAGGGCCGGTTGTGCCTGAGCCAGAGACTGAATCTAATCGTAAGCCTTGCTCTTCCCCAATGCATTCTTTAGCTAAATTATCAGATGAATTGGGGCCACCCAATACCCCATGTCCAGAAAACCCCATCTCTGATCTCGGGCCCGAGCAAGCCAACCCTGAAC